GGGGTAGGGCGCAAGCCCCGCGAACCAAACACCAGCGCGGCGGGTCTACCAGCCCTTTTCAGGGCTGGTAGGCATTGGCTTCGGCCACCGTCGGGCAACCCGTAAGTTCGCACTGAGCGGAAACGGGGGCTCTGCGCCTAGCGTGGGGCTGCGAGGAAGAAAACCTCTATAAAAATTACCCTAATCCCAAGCTCTGTCGCCCGGCGAAGGGATGAATCGTTGGAGGGAGTCCAGCGACTAGGGCGTCAACACCGGGGGGGGTTTAAGGGGAATTAAAAAAATATGGACATGTCGAACAAAACAAAAACTACCCGGGAGGGTCCCGCTTGCGGGGAATCCCTTGGTGGGTCGGACAGCCGGCCCATCGGCCCCATTGTATACGGGGGGGCCATTCGCCATGTGAGTGAAGGAGGGTTAGGTTCTGAAGGAGGAAGTAAAGCAGGAAGATTATCCGATTCTGACTCGGACAGTAGAAGCTCCATGATCAGCGTATCCAGTCGCTTCGGATCGATGGAGTCACTGGATCACGACGGCCCAGGGAGATACTGGAGCGAGGGACGCGGCCAGAAGCGGCCTAGGGACCTTGTGTTGAGCGGCAGCTCCACAGACACTCCCGCCAAGGGAGGCAACAAAAGAAGAGGACGAGGCCGTCCGCCAACTACCGGCGAATACGTCGGGCTGGCGGCCGCGAAAGAATCTCTGAGGAAGGCGACTGAGGCAGAGATCAGGGCGCGAGCTGAAGCGGAGATGTTAGAGTCAGTGTTGGAAGCCCGCAGGACTCGTTCGGCCCTGACAGTGACCGCGACTGGATCGTCAGCAGATCCGAGGGACGCAGAACACGAAGGCGTCACGGCGACCACCGTCCTCAAACGGATCGGTACCAGCCTTGACGTGGTCGAAAAGGTGGCGAAGAAATCTACGAACTTAAAGGGGACGTTTGTGCGGGCGCTACATGACGCTGTCAGCGCAATAAAAGAAGATGTCGCCGGCCTCGCACAGAGGTCGATATCCGAAGAAACACGAGCCTTGCAGGCCGACAACAGCCGCCTTCAAGCTGAAATGACCAGCCTCCGCAAGGAGCTGGCAGAACTTCGCCAGGAAATGGAACAGGCGCGGAAGCAGGGTTCCGCCAAAGCCTGTATTGATGTGACGATGGAGGCCGTCCCTGCCCGGTCTCCAAAACAACAAGAAGACCCCTCTCTAGAGGATATTTGCCGAACGGTCATGGTTCAGGTGGGCGGCATGCTCAATGCCCGCCTGGCCTCCCTGGAGGATCGGCTGCTGCCGGAACGGAGCCTGCGACCACCTCTAGCGTCGGACAAGAGAAAGGAGACCCGCACATACGCGACTGCGACCGCGGAGCCCACAGCTGCGCCCCCTTCGGGTGCTCAGGGAACGTCTGGGACGAAGGCACCCCCGGTGCCAGCTCAGCCTGGTCCCAGTGGACTCTCGCGCCAAGCGCCCACCGTGCCGCCCAAGAAGAGCAAGGGCAAAAGCTCTAAGAAAGGAGCGAAAAAGAAGAAGGCAGCTCGGCCGCCAACGGGCGAGAACTTAGAGTCCTCCTCTGCCGCCCCCGTAGCACCATCACAGGCCCTCCCTCCTCGTCCTCCCAATCCGGACGCTCTCGAGGACAATTGGGTCACCGTAGGGCGAAATGGTAAGGCACAACGACACGGCAAATCCAAAGTGGCCCCCGTGCAGGCAACTACATCTGCGCCTGCACCGCCGCCGCAAAGATTAAAAGTGCCCCGAAGCTCCGCCGTCGTTGTAACACTCACCGAGGCGGCCATTAACAAGGGCCTCACATACAGTGGTGTCCTTAGAGAGGCGAAATCGAAGCTCGATCTTAAAGAAGTAATTGGCATCGAAGCGGTGCAATTCCGCCGGGCGGTTACCGGGGCAACTATTATTCGCATCCCCGGCGCCGCTAGTGCCCCGAAAGCAGATGTCTTGGCGCAAAGGTTACAAGAGCTATACCAGGGCCAAGACATCAAGGTCTCCAGGCCGGAGAAACTAGTCGATGTGAAGATCGAAGGTCTGGATGACTCGACGACACCTGATGAGGTAAAGGCGGCCATCATCAAAAAAGGAGCATGTGCGGGCGACCAAGTCAGAATTGGCCGACTCCGCCAGAACAGAGCTGGGCTATACGACATCTGGGCCCAAGTCCCTGTTGCGGCAGCGAGGAAGCTGATGACGGGGCGTTTCTTGGTGGGCTGGGTGGCTGCTAGAGTCACCATTGGCAGACCCAGGGAGCTGCGCTGCTATCGCTGCCTGCAACAGGGGCATGTAGCCAGCCGCTGCGATGCGGAGGACCGCAGTCGGACTTGCTATCAATGTGGACAGGAGGGCCACAAGGCCGCGTCCTGCCCGTCGCAACCGAACTGTGTTCTATGCACGGCGGCGGGCAAGGACGCCAAACACCGATTGGGAAGTGCCAAATGCTCGGCGCCCAAAAGAACGGTCCCGAGAAGAGCGCAAATTTCCGTAGCACATAATGCGCCCCCACCGAGCGGGGAAGATATGGAGGTAGTAGAAGTCGCTCAGGATTAACATGGCCCTACGTCTTCTCCAAGCGAACCTCAACCACTGCGCCAGAGCCCAGGATCTGTTCATCCAAAGCTTGGCGCAGTGGTCGATAGATCTAGCGGTGGCATCCGAACCGTACCTGGTTCCGGATAG